TACTGAGGCGAGGCCTCGCCGCTTTTGGGTGAGTCGGCTATAAGGCGGGTCGATAGCCCGTATTTTACGGCGAGTTCCGTGTGAGTTTTATTTCTTTCTGTTATATTTCATGCTGGCTTTCCTACGGTTGTTTCACTGCGTATGTTTGATTGAACGCCAGTTTGCGGGGATTGTTCCCTCCGGGTTTTTTGGTCCTCCTGTGTGCATTAGTGCAGTTGTGAGCCGGCCCGTAAGGCTGTTCGTGATTATTTTGAGTCGCGCATCAAAGGCGGTTCTTGTTCTCAGTGCTGATGGCTGGACCCCTGCGAATTTTGGCTCACTGACCCCCCCCCCCCCCTGAGCGAAGTGTATATATATATATATATATATATATATATATATATATATATATATATATTGAGAGAGAGAAAGAGAGATTGCTTTTTCAGCATTGATTACTTACTAAATATCACTGGAACAACGCGTTTCCCAGAAATTAAAAAAAAAAAAATTACCAATGATGCCCGAACCCAGAAATGTGTTCCAAAACTGCCTGGCATTGCTACAAACCTGCTCCAAAAGAGCATTATTTCTGCTCCCTGAGCTGCTCCAAATGGCTGAAGCCCACTTCCAGCCCTGTATATGGTGTATATAAATAGCTTGCCGTTAACGATCTTGAAAACATACATTTTGTGGTCTAGTGGTTAGTGTCGTGTGCTGGAATCAAGAGGTCGCTTGTTTGAAGCCCCTGCAACAGAACCTTTTGTTGTTGTTTTTTTTTGCAATATGTTAGTATATGTTTTACGTCGTTTCTGTGACGGAAATGTGTCAGTGGAGCCGTGCTTAAGCCCGGCATAAAACACTTTTGTGTTAGAAAATGTTTCATGTCAACTCTGCTGTGCTATCTTTATGAACGATCCCTGTTGCTAAGCCTAAGTGCCAATGTGGTCAGTTATTGGCACTTGTATAACACTTGTGAACTCCTGCCAATGGCAGATTCAAGGGGTGATGATGGCAGGTGGGGGTAAGCTAAAGGGTTGGTCACACCTACCTTTTTATTAAATGCTGGAACACGTGATGTTTTGATGCCTGTCGGTTCCTGAAACTATGTATGCTATGCTATGGTCACCTTGTCACTAATGCTTCACTGCAATGTTCATGTTACATGTTGTGGTAAAGCCAGCGTATGATGGTATTTTATGGGAGCAGCCCTATTTCTGGCAGCTCTCCACTCTTTACTGTTCATGTCTCCTTTTTGATTGGGTCAGCAATTTTCATTTGCACACTAACTAGAACACTCACTAAAACGTTGGGCTTGAACTAGTGGTACAAGGCTGGAACAACCAGCGGTGCTATTGGTTGACCTAACCAAGATTTGCTTATGCAGTTGAACCCCATATGAAAGAGATGCGCCGGAGAGCAATTATAGTCCCTTACATGAAGTGTCTCTTATAAACAGCGTAATACATATGCAGTTTCTTATCAACAGCCATTTCAATGTAGGCACACCAATGTCTCTTTTATACCCATTTGTCTAATACATCAGTGTCTCTTATAAAGGGATTTGACTTTAGTGCCAAGCTTTTTCTGGAGGTGTTAAATTTCTGCTAGTATTGTGCTAAGTTCGGCTTGACTTTACTATTCTTCTCTGGTTTCAGTCGGTTCCCCGTACTACGCACGTGTCTTGTGGTTTTAGCCGGAACATGGCAGTGACCAGTTGCGTAATATTACGTGATTTTAGCCACCTGACCAGTACATTAGGTAATGTTATGTGACCTTTGTCGCATGAGTAGTTACATGATATTTAATTTGTCATGTTACTGAATGTTATGGGGCGTTACGAAATTGGTTGTGGGACTCTATTTCAGATGTTTCCCTCAGCTTTGTGAAGGTTATTGGACTCTTTAGCCATTAGGAAGGACGAATATATCGTGCACATGTACAGTTGCTGACTGTTTATTCGGACTTGACGGGAACCGCCGATATGTCTGAATAATCGGGAATCCGAAAAAACAGATTCACTGGAAAAAAGCACTTTCATAGGCCCTATCGCCCGAAAAAACTGTCTCTAGTCTGCACACATGCATGCTTCCGAGATGGTTTGCTTGGAAATAGAAAATTCCCGAGCCACTTCAGACTGAGGTCGGCCGCCTTCTACCTCGCGAATTATCTCCGCTTTCTTCGCCATCGTGAGCGTCTTGTAACTCCCACATTGGCCGCGTTTTTTCACTCCCGACGGTGCAGCAACGGGTGGGGTCGGAGCCATTTCAGCACCCCACGAAACACGCAAGAGCGCGAGAACAAGACGAACCAGGCCTAGCCGTAGAAGCAGCTGACTGACACCGCTGACACACTCCAAACGCCACAGCGAACAGACTCCGTAGGGGGCTTAGCCGCTCGACTGGCTAAAACAAAAAACAAAAAAAAAAAAAACGCCTTGCCACAAATAGCCTTCGAAATCGGCAATGGCGATTTCTGCGTGCATTTTGACACTGACCTGACGTCCGTGCATAACTAGTGCAGCATATCAGTGCTGGCAACCTAGCAAACGTAATGTTAACGTCGTTGTCAGCGTGTAATGGCGTACGGCAACGCATCCGGTCAGTCAAACGGACTCCGAATAATCGAATGGCGCACAGTGGGGAATTCGAATTTTCAGTCATGAGTTTACATTAGGATCAATGGAGCGAGTGGCGGTGCCACGAAGATGTCCGAATAAACGGGCATGTCCGAATTTTCGGCGTCCGAATAAACGGTCGGCGACTGTGTTCATTCACGTTGCGTCTCCCCGGTGTCTGCTCGCATGCGTAATGTCAATAAACATCAATGCAAAAATAAGAAAAAAGGCTGCGCCCATCAGCCAGGTGCCCTTGCTTCGAATTTATCAAGTTATCGTGTGCTGTGTGACCTGTAGGTTACAAATTGATGCTTGTATTTGCCTTACATTAATGTGCTGATCATTTGATGGTGGTGTATTTGGGACTATATTGCACTACTTCCAAGAACCATTATCGAATTCCCGGCACGTAAGGCTTAGCAGGCGAGTCTAAACAAACGATTCATCTTGCAAATGCAGTGAAATCTTGGTATAACGAACTTCAGGGGACCGCGGAAATTTGTTCGTTATTTTGAAGGGTCGTTGTAGTGAAAGCTAGAAAATTCTTATTTTTCACTGACCAAAACAACTTTCCTTTACAGCGGTGGGTCCTTGAACTCGTTTTCTCGAGAAAAACAAAAAACAAATGCACGAGTAAACACCAAAGAATGCACGTTTACTTTAAAAAAGTCTGTAATTTATTTTTTTTTGACGCGAGCAGCACAAACTTTGCAGCGCGAAGGCCTCCAGCTCATCCACATTCCTGTGGTGTGATTCGGTTCTTTGGTCACAACAGCCTGCTTTTTGCCTTCCAGTTGCCAAAGAATATCCATTGTCTCGCTTAGCAAAAACTGCTTCCGCTTCTTCGTCACAAGCAAAGGTGAACTCATTTGTAGTATCACCACAGCGCGAACGCATACTTGCTTCGCGGACACGATAAGAAATCACTGAAAAGAGATGAACACGACTGGAAAAAAAGGCCTCCAAAGAAAAACTCGAAGCGTCACGGCCGTCATCGCCTCTTTCGAAGGAAGAAAAAAGTGCTAAAAAAGAAAATGCCTCGAGTTTCGTTTTATGCTCTCTCGCTGTCTCAGGTTTTCCGCGCCCACGCTTCCTGCTTCGCAACCCCCACTCGGCCTCGCTGACCTTGCCCTCCTGTGTTGCCCTCGTCTCTCCGCTCGCTTGTAAACCTGCAGCGTCGGCGCTTCAACAAAAAGAAAGAAAAGAAAGTCGCCCTTTTGTTCTTTTCTTTTCTCCACACCGTCGCGCGTCTTCTGAGAAGCAAGGTGTCCGTCTGCTTGCGTACCGCTGCGGTGGTCGCGACGAATTTCAGGACATAAGTTCGTAATACTGAGGCGTCGTTAATATGACGTGGAACTAAATTATTGCTTGTTATTCTGAAAAGTTCGATATTCGGAAGTACATAGTAGTGAAATACTTTTACATTGAAACTATTAGCAGTCGGCGCGGAACTTTTTAAAAGTTGATTAATCCAAAAAGTTTGTTAATGTTGGGTTCGTTCTACCGAGATTTCACTGTAATGACAAAATGTACCTAATTCTTTGTCCTTGACGTGGAATGGCACGAAATAATGCCTCATTTCACCATTTGTTTGTTGCTGGCAGCATAGTGGGTGAATAGGAAGTGCAAGTGCGAATCGAAGCAAACGGTTGTGCCTGCATATGCACTGCCTTCTGGATTTGTAATCACAGTTTCCAGCAATTACTGATACAGACATTAAAGGCACACAACATTAATGCAAAAAAGAATGAGCATCGCACATTGATGCGATGTATCATGGGCCAAACAAGTGCTAATGTCTCAACCCTGCCAAATGAAAGATAATTATGTCTGGGCTGTGTATTGACGTGCAAGCACGTTGCTTGCTTATGCTTATGGTAGTGATAACGGTTGTGAGATGGGAGTAGAGATGTTACGCAAGTTTTGGTGTCATGTGGCGTGATGTCAAGGGATTTTAGTGAAGTGACTAGTTTTGATATGATATGTGATTTTAGTCCAGTCATTAGTTGTTACATGCAATTACGTGATTTTTGTCGCGTAATAAGCACTTCATCATATTTACTGTATTCCACACTGAACAAACTGACGCACGTGTTGCGGGAGCTGCTTCGCCGCAATAGGCAGTAGATCTTTGTATGATAAACTTTTCGATGTGTGCGATTGTGACGTACGCTCTCTGCATTTCCCCCCTAATTCTTCCATTATAAATCACTAGCTAGTTAGCGCCCGTCTTGTCTTGTTCCTGGTGTTCCATTTTTTTGTGCTCCGCTTTTATTTTAAGACAGTTCTTCAACTTGCCCAGCAATGCACTCTTTTAATTGCTCCAAATCCTGAACTGGCTGAAAAGCCACTGTTATTGCGGTAGAATGTTCTGTGAATTATATTGGGATATTTTTACCTTCAGCACGGATCCAAATGCAGCAGCGAACCAGCTGCAGCAGCAGCAAACACAGCAGCTGCTCCAATACCTGTCAACCAATCCGTATGGAGACAACCCACTGTTCAGGAATGTGCTCAAGGTAAAAGTCTGCATGTTATCTTCATGCCTAGTACTGATTTGCTAGCTCCTATTGTGAAAAAACACTTAATCTCACTAGCAGAAACATAATTGAAATACTAGAGACTCCGAAGATTTATGGGTATACATGATTATAAAAGAAAAGGAGGCCAATAGTTTGCCATGACATGGTGTGAAAAGGCATGGACAACCCAACTGAACTGAATAAAAAGGGCACAGGATGACACGCTTTTAGTGTGGCTAGTCGAAACCAAGTTGCCTAATGCTTGCTTCTTTTGTGTTGTCATTACAGTTGAACCTCATTATAGTAGAGTCTTGATGTGAATTTTAACAGGAGCACAAAAATGTTTGTATTGCCCCGAATTTATATGAGCCATTACAAGCCAATCTCAAATGAAAATGGCCACCAGCATTATAGGCACAACTACTTTTGGCTGGAATAGTTTGTATTTTTCTTTTGCATTCTCTCATCTTTGATGTGTGGTGTACACGCATCCCGAAGGAGTACGGCCACCAGCGTGGGTCCGGTCTTAGCGAGCCGCAGGGCACGCGTTAACCGTCGCCGTGGCGGGAAACACGATACTGCTCAAGTCGCAACACTTTATTGTGGCAACACCAAACGCAGTACAGCCCGTTGCAAAAAGGGCGCGGCGGGAAAGCAAGTAGGCTTATCCACGCCACGGGCACAAAGTACTACACAGGGGTGCCACGAGCACGTCTCCGCGGTAAAGGTAATCCACGGAGACACCGGGACAAAGGGGCCCGGTTGCTCGAGCGAGGGCAAAGGCGCTCGCGTTGGCTTCGAAGGGAGACGGGTCGGCGTAGCGAGGCCACGCACTAGGACACCGTACCGCCCTTCGGCCGTGCGTACGCAGCGGGTTAAACAGCGGGTGAGCGTTCGCCTTGGGCGCGAGGCGCCGTCAGCGAAGTCCGACGAGCCCCCGACTGACGGGAGTCGACGGACGAAAAGATAGCGTGGCTCACCGTTTGCTGTCCCGGAGAGTATCTGACCGCTCCCGACGCAGCGCGCGAAAACCTCCCAGGGGTCCCCGCGTGCGGCGCCACAGTCAACATCCGCTACCGGGTGAGGGAGTTATACGTCACTCCGACCTTCCCAGCGCGGCAGACAGCAAGGAGGGCAGACATGTCGGGACATGAGAACGGCAGAAAAGGCGGGAAAGCCCGCTTAAAGGCAGCGGGCCAGCCTCAATTCCCACATCCCCCTCTCCTAAATTTGCCCTTTACCGGTCTGCAAAAGGCAGCCGGGCGTCACCCATGCAGTTAAAATGACACTGCTATAAGCGACAGCTAACCTCAGTCCAGCCCTGCTACTGCTGCTAAAAAAATGATTACAAGGAGAAACAAAACATAAATAACAAAATAAACACATGACACTATACAAATAACTGCGGAAGGGAGCACAGCAACGTGGCACTAGTGTTCGTGGTGCTGAAGGGGGATAGCGTCCAGTGCGCGGAGGTGCGGTAAAGGCGTGACAGTGTCCGCTGGGTGCGATGCCCGAGTGCGAGGTCACAGGTACCGGAAGGGGGCTCACTGATGGCTTGTTGCTGCTCTTGATAAGCCGCGAGTCCGACGAAAGCCGCTTCGGTTGTTCGGAGGCCCCGCATTTCTGGCTCGATGAGGGAGCTGGACGTTGCGGGAAGCCGGGCCTCTCCGGTGGTCAGGGAGGCCGAACCAAAATTGGCTGCGAGGCGCCCTGGCGTTGGCCGGCAGCATATAGCTGCTTTCAGCTGGCCTCGCGCAGGAGCCATGGTGGGAAGGCAGCACGGCTTCTTCGGCGACAGCCAAGAGCAGAGCACAGCCGGATGGTCTGATGTCAATGGGTCAATGCCCCCCAGCACCTCCAGCGTCCGCATCGATGGGGGGAAGCCATCACGCACTCTTCGCGGGCTCGCACTGAAGCGTCACGCACTTACACGCGCACACACACCGCCGACGGCTGCGCGAGCGTAGGCGCAAAGCGTCCTTCGTCTCTCTCCCCCGGCAAGCACCGGCACTCAAGGTCACACACAGCTCCCTTCGCGGTAGACGAAACGAACACGAAAAAAAAAAGTAAACACAGAGCATACTGACACTACACATCTGGCAAAAAAAAAAACAAAATACAAATAACACTTAATATTAGACAAAAGAAACATAAAATACACATGAACACTTAAAAAAAATAAACACTGGCAGCAGACAGGGCGGGGTCAACTTCTTTACGAGAAAAGGCCGTAAAGAAGCTAACCTATACTGAGGCTAGACTAAACTGAGGGCCTTCGGTTGCGGAGAAGTCCGCCGTCCGGCGCGAGATCACAAAGGTGACCGCTTCCTCAGATTATACCGGCGCGGGGTCCGAATGCGGTCCGCCGCTCCGGGTGTGCCCCGTTGCTGGCGCGCAGTGCCGCAGGGCTCTGGCGCGAGCTCGTCAGACCGTGATACAAAGGGTTTCAGGTCTGCGATATGGGCACGGCTGAGTTTTCCCGTCTGGGGATCTTTCAGCAAGTACGCGAGTGGAGTGCAAGCTTTCTCCACTCGGTACGGACCAAGCCACTTAGGAGCGAGCGAGGTTGAGAACCCCTTACTGGCATCGCTAAGGGCGTGGTTGCGCTTCAGGACAAGATCGCCCACCTCAAAAACTAGGTCGCGATGCTTGCGGTCATATTGGGCCTTCTGCTGAGCCCTGGCCGACGCCAAACTTTGCCTTGCTTTGCAGAAAGCTCGACAAAGCCTGTCCCGAAGTGCCGACGCGTAAGCAGAGCAGTCTGCCGGCGCCTCCTCGTCCTCGAGCTGGCATTGAGTGACGCTGGTCACCGGATTTGCCAACTCCCTTCCAAAATTTAAGAAGGCGGGCGAGAAACCAGTTGAGCGACTCTCGGATGTTCGAATAGCGAACGCGAGCTCACTCAAATGGTCTGCCCAGTCCCTTTGACTCTCGGCAAAGGCCGCCAACATCGGTTTGAGCGTACGATTGACACGCTCCGTCAAATTGGACTGGGGATGGTAGGGTGAAGTGGTGCAGTGATCAATTCCGAGGGAACGGCACGTGACACCAAACACCCGAGCGGTGAAATACGAAGCATTGTCAGTGATGAGCCTTTCCGGGAAGCCGAACCGGCAAAACACTTCCTGCAGCTTCTCAAGCACCGCTCGCGCTGTCACCTTCCGAAGTGGGAAAAGTTCCACCCATTTCGAAAAATGATCAGCGACTACCATCAGGTGAATGAACCCCTGCTTACTTCTGGGAAACGGTCCCATTAGATCGCAGGTGGCCACTTGCCACGGACGCTCACTGACAATCGGTTTCATCAGACCGGGCGGCTTGCCACCCCTTGATTTCACCGTTTGACAGACGCGGCAAGAACGGCAATAGCGAAAAATGTCTCGCTTCATGCCGGGCCAAGTCACAACGCGGCTCAGTTTTGCAAAAACTTTCGAGCCACTCAGGTGACCGGCCATGGGTTCGTCGTGAGAGGATCGCAACAGTGCGGCTCTCAGACTTTTGGGCATAACCACCTTAAACGGGTCTATGGACTCGTCGTCAGTGGCTATATACTTCAGCAGGAGCCCGTCATGGTCCAGCAAATATGAATCCGCCGGGGACTCAGCGACACACGCTGGTTCGAGCCCCCTATTCGCGCCCGCTGCAGGGCAAGCAGCGTCACGGCGCTCCGTCTCGTCGAGACAGTCGTTATCGGCGCCCGCTGCAGGACAAGCAGCGTCACGGCGCTCCATCTCTCTGAGACCGTCGCATATTTCGCGACAAAACGGGTCACTTTGCTGGGCCTTCAGAAGCTCTTCTCTGCTGAAAGCGATGCCCATTCTCCCAAAATAGGGGAGTCTGGTATCGCGCCCACTCAGGACCGCAGCAACAACCGCTTGAGTCGGCGTTACGGGTTCGCTCTCGGCCTCGTGGCCTTCGGAAAGCTCCCCCGCTCGGCCGCTTCGCGGTGCGCCGCTTACCTGGTTAGCAGCCAAGGTTTGTCCGCATGGGGACTCACCCTTCACGCCGAACGGCGGCGAAGCTGCTGTTTCGCCCCCGACGCTTGCAAGTGCTAAGGCACCGCTAGCGGCGGTCGCACTGGGATCAAGGTCCTCGGCCGACAGTGGGGCACGAGATAGCGCGTCAGCTACCACGTTGGTGCTCCCCTTTCGATACTGCACCGAAAAGTCATAGTGCTGTATCAGGAGAGCCCAGCGCGCCAGCCTGCCGGCAGGCTCACGGAGCCGCATCAGCCAGCTGAGCGCACTGTGATCCGTTTGCACTACGAATTTCGTCCCATCAAGATAGACGTCAAACTTCCGCAGTGCAAACACGATGGCGAGGCACTCCTTTTCGGTCACGGAATAATTTTTCTCCGCAGAGACCAAGGAGCGGCTGGCAAAGGCCAACGGCTGCAACACGCCATCGTATTCCTGTAGGAGAACAGCTCCTAAACCCAGATCGCTCGCATCAGTCTGTACAACGAACGGTCTGGTCAGGTCGGGGAGCTTGAGCTGCGCTGTCTCCGCTATGGCGTTAGACAGTCGGCAAAACGCCTCCTGCTGCTCAAGTCCCCATTGCCACTCAGCAGACTTACCCAAGAGTTTGCTCAAGGGCGCCTGCAGTCGGGCACAGGACGGAATGAAGGAACGGTAAAAGTTGACCATTCCTAGAAAGCGGCGAAGGCCACGTACGTCCTTGGGCACGGGAAATTCGAGAATAGCTCGAAGTTTCTCCCGATCCGGCTCTATGGAGCCTTCGCCCAGCGTAAACCCGAGCAAATGAACACGGGTCTGCGCTAATTGGACCTTAGCGGGGTTAAGTGTCATCCCGGCGGTCCGCACCCTCTCGAGCACATCGGCAACATGGGCCAAGTGCTCTTCGAAGGTTCGTGAATAAATCACGATGTCGTCGAGGTAGCACATGCAGTATGACCACTTTGCTTCCCCGAGGACGCGGTCCATGAGTCTTTGAAACGTCGCAGGAGCATTGCAAAGACCAAAGGGCATACGAGT